TGTTTATTAAATGCCTCCATTTAATTTAATTGAGAACAAAGTGCTTTTCATTTTTGTTCAGGAAATTTTATTACGCATGATGTAAATATCATAGTTCTCCTTGTTATAATTAGTTATGGTCGGAGCCTAATTTCTTCATCAGATTATTTGATAATACAATTAATCTACCACATTCCACTAAGATGAAGTAAATAATGTTGAGAATAAATGTGTAATTTGATCCCTTATCTCAAATGGGTGATATCAGTTCTATGATTGTCAACTTTGATTGGACAAATCTCTCAACATTAGGAAAAGGAATTAAGAAGTTGGAAATAATACACAAACGCATCATTATCTAAATTATTGCAAAAGTTCATTTAAACCAGAAGTTCGAAAGATAATTTATTTAGATACATTTACTGACCAGAGAGATCAACAATATTTTACGCAACAATTTTAATTGATCCAATACGAATTGATATCCTAGGGGGACAATTTGATATCATTATATTTTATATATCTATGGAACATATAAAGTGCGATGATATTCGATTCTAATAAAAAAAATCTCTAGATGAAATTTGATGATATCTCAATAAGTTATGTCATTATGAGAAAATAAATAGAATCGAACAAGAAAATTAAAAATTATCGACAATAATTTCACACATAATATACTATATCATATTTTGAATATCAAGGAATTGAAATAAAATTCTACGAAATACATCGATCAAAATAATGATTGATCAAATAAAAAGAATACTATTCTAAATTGAATTTATTTAAGAAACTTGTAGTTTTTGAATGCGATCCTAGTAAAATTAAACTCAATTGAGAAATCGAAAGTTTCTTAATCTACAGTCTGAACACGTAAATGTGTATACTTATACGAAATGAAAAAGAAAAAGTAAAGTCGTAATATAAAATTTACGACTCTTTACATAAGAAATGTCACGAAAACTTGTATAAATAGATAAGTTATTATGTGGTGGATGTAATCACAAATCTCTTTGATATGCATATAATAAATGCGATTATATTAAACATACCTTATATAAAAATTTAATACTATCCATGAAAGATTTAATATGTTTGATTAGGGGTGTCAAAAAAGCTCGGAGGCTCGGGTGGCCCGTGGCCCAACGCGGAAAAAGCCCTAGCCGGCTCGGCTCGTGGCTTAGGTCGAGCCCGAGCCGGTCCGCAAGCTTTTATTTAAATAAAGAGAGAGAGAGAGATAATTATGCCAAGTTTGTTGCCTTTAAAAATGCTGTTTAAAAAATAAATAAATAATCGAGCCTGGGCTCGTAAAAAAGCTGGACCATTTTAACTGAGCCGAGCTCGAGCCTAAAATTTTAGGCTCCAGTTCGACTCGACTCGGCTCATTGACATCCCTATGTCTGAAACATAATTCAAGTGATATTATCACAAATGGGTATAAATACACATTGCACTCTTTTTTCCTTGACTAAGATTTTGTTCCATTAGATTTTCTTCGTAAGGTTTATAATAAGACAACTTGCATAGTCAAAAGAATAATGTATTCTTTTTCCTTTATTTGAATTTTTCTTAATAATGTTTTAATGGAGCATGTTCTTTATGCAATGATACCCTTCACTTGCAAGACATTTATCCTCAAAAGGTATACTTTTATATATATGAAACTCTCAAAGAGATCAACAAGTGTTATTTTCTAAATCGTCATGTTACTAAAGTTATAAAAAATTGATAAAATATATCTTATAAAGATAGTGTTATTTGAAGACTCTTTAAGAGAACATGAGACATACTTCACCAACATCGACACATAAGGCATGGATCGCTTAATACAATAATTGAAATAAGGGGAAGTACTTATACTCTTTTTTTTTTTTTTTTTTTAAGTTTTGTTCTATTGAATTTTATTGATAAAGTTTTAATAATGCAGTATTTTATTACTCCAAATTATTTTTACTTTTTTTCTTTTGTTGGCATTTTATTCCATTGGATTTTTTGCCAAATAATGTTTCACAGGTATAATTATTATGCAAATAATCAACAAGGTGGGAGTGTTGTAGAATAATAAAATAATTATTGATGATTATTTAATTTTATCATGATATATAAATAAGTCTTATCTAGTTCAAAGAGTTTATTTCATTCCAATTATAACTCTTATTTTAGAACTTATGAATAAGGGTCTTGATTTTCAATAAAGTATACACTTGAGTTTTGACTCTTATATTCTTTTCTCTTTTTCTTTCTTTTCATAACATATCCAAGAATTTCAATTAAGCCAGACATGGGCTTATGCACATTTCAAGTGAAAAAATTAAGGGCAAGTTACAAAAATACCCTTAAAATTTGGAACCTCTTGAAAATTCACATGAAAAATTTTTTGGAAGTAAAAATACTATTTGATATTAAAAAGTGACACAATGTCACTTTTTTTTTCAATAAAATTTGTCACTAAAAAATGACACAATGTCACTTTTAAAAGTTAAATGTTATTTTTCAATTAAAAAATAAAAAAAGTGATAGAAATCAATAAGGTGACTGAAAAAAGTAACATACATTTAAAAAAGTTACACAAATTAAAAAAAGTTACACAGGTTAAAAAAGTTACACAAATTAAAAAAGTGAAAGAAAATAAAAAATGTAACAAAATAAAAAAAAAGTGAAAAAGAAGAAGAAAAAGTGACATGAATGCAAAAAAGTGACAGAAAATAAAAAAGTGACATTCTTTGAAACGGTGACAGAATAAGTATTTTTTCCTTTAATTTTATTTTGGTATTACCTCTTTTAACTTATTTACGGGCTCTATTTTTTCAGTTGTTGGGTGACATTTTTATTATCATTTCGAATATTTACGAAATACTTTGAAATATATCTTTACGAACTTGAAAATCGATAAATGTCGAGTTCATAATAACAAGTCAAAAATTGTCACTAGTAGGAGTGAGCGTGGTCCGGTTTGATCCAATTCCAAAGGGAACCGAATCGAACCGAACTGAATCGAATACCAATGGAAATTTTAGAAATGGAACCATTGGTTCCATAGCTAACTATGGAACCGAACCGGAACTGAACTAATCGGCTTCGATTCGGTTCTTTACATTGAAAATGTAAAAATAAAATATTTACTAATAAAAAATATAAAGATGCTATCAACGTGATACTTTTAACAAAATATAAAAGAATCGAACATACTATTGAAATATTTATTTAGGTATATGTTTACAAAGTGAAAACAAAATAAAAATTATGTAATCAAAGTGAAAACAAAATAAAAATTTCGCATCTTAGAAATGAAATTATATATTGTAAATAAATTTCTTTAGATATAGATTTACCCAATATTCGAATTTGGATTGAGAATCAATTAATCAAAGAATTATAAGAAGAGAGAAGGAAATAATCAAAGAGAAGAAGGAAAGTGCTAGAGTCTAAAATTAAGAAGGAACCATATTAATTTGTTTATAAAAGTGTTGGAGATTGAGTGATATATTTTACCAAAAAAAAAAAAACTCCTATGAGAACCGTCTGGTTCCCGGCGGTTCTCATATTATAACCGGGAATCGGATCGGTGTCGATTAGTTCTTAATAATTTGTCCCAAAATCAAATTATTTTTTAAAAGATCCGGAATCGAACTAGTCGATTCTAAACGGTTCCGGTCCGGTTTCACCGGTTTTGAAAAAAAATGCTCACTCCTAGTCACAAGAACTAAACTTTATAATTATGGTTTATTTTGCGTTCAATATTTCAAGCGAGATAATTTTTGATATTTAGACTTCATTCATAACATATTTATCATGACCTTATTACAAGCTTTCTAATAAATTTTGAATCGCAGCGTAAAATACCGTATCAAACCAAAAATTTTTAATAATAAAAATTTAAAAAAATAAAAAATATCAGATTGGGAGTGTGGCCGTTTGTCTCTCTCAAATGATTTTGCTGAAGTTCAAATGTTTTATGTTTTTAATTGACGTAATTAATACGCTTTGATTTAAGTGTATTAATCAATTCCGTCTTTTGTTTAGGGTACTGTGTCTAATTTCCTCAAAAATTAAAGCTAAAAGTGACGGAATTAGATAAAGTGTGCAAAAAGAGAGAAAGGTTGAGGACTGAAAAGTAGGATTTTAAAGGATTGGGAAGAATTTGATGCAATTGCTATAGGTAAAGGACTAATTAGAAAAACAGAAAAAATATCGATTTTGAAGTATTGTCTTGAACCCTGGTTTATATTGGGAAAGTTGAACTCCGACAATAAAGTTGCAAAATGGATATTCATAATGAACTGAAGTTTTCCTTTTATAGTCTTTTAATTTTTTTTAAAAAAATAATAATAAAAACATTCTAGGACGAGGATGGTTTTGAGGGAAAGAACGTTTGAAATCTTCAACTTTTATTTATATTATTTATTCTATAATTTTAGTTGGAACGAGTTGATGTAGTTATAAGAGCATTCTTTGTATTAGTGGTTAGTTGTTTCTATATTGCAGGAATTAGAGGGGAGTTATCTTGTATTCTACTTCTCTGTATAAAGGGTGTAAAGGAAATTAAATGGAAAGCCGACGAAAGTTAATTTACAAAATATTATTTGTATTTGGAGGTTTTTTGTTCCTTGAAGACCAATATCTAAGAGCTCGGGTTTCTATATTTTATATTTTCTCGTTACTAACACAACATGTAGCATTATTCTTTTTGAGATTCAAGCAACATAAAATTCGACTGTTGAAGAGACATGATAAAAAAAATTAGTTAAGGACCACCTTATTGTGCAATCAGCTCGATTGAAAGATGTTCGCATAACACCTACATTCATTTCAGAACTTCCATAATCCCTTCCTAAACCTTACCTTAAAATAAAGTTGAAACATGAATGCTTTAAGTTCTTGAATATCTTAAAAGCATTCATTGTATTAAAAACGTTGAACCCCAACCTTGAGAGCTCCCACTTCTCTGCCTCTAGAGCTTTGTGAGGGAGGTAAATCGCGGGATGTGCCCCAACAAGTCAGAGAACAAGAACTGTCTGTACACTAAAGCATTCATTGTATTGTGTATACTCATGGGAGTACGTGCACTGTGGTTCAATATGTACAAAATCTGCCACAGATTAAATAGGCTAGATTTACAACTCAATATCTGTTTCAAACATTTCCAAATTTTCCTCATCAATGGCCACCACTTTTTTGGCACCTTTAGGATTACTACTAACTCTAGAAGAATTCGATAAAATATTGAGCTGTAACCTCTCGTTTTTGGTTAAATCGCCACCCGTAATGACACCGCATCCTTCGTCCTCCTTTTTCAAATCAGCTGGAGCCAAGAAACAGTCTATTGACAATCCCTTTATGTTGAAGTCAACTTCTTCAATACTCCAAACTTCTTCCATTCTTGTCTGGTTATGGCTTTCAGAATTTTCGCCAAACCTAAATAATGACACAGAAGTCCTGCCACCATGCGCGATGTTAATGCCATCAATTGTTCTGTAATCTTGAATCAATGACTCCATTGTCGTCTCCCAAAATACATCGTTGTCTCCGGGAACCTTTATTCTTAGGAGGTGAGAGTCTTCTAACAGGGCTAAAAGGCCAGTTCTTTGGCTGAAACAGCCACAAATAGTGTGTCTGACTATCTCAACATTTGAGCTGCTTCTTGCTATCAAGGTAGAGGGCTCTGCGTCGAGCTTTAATACAAAGCAGTCTTCATCATTGATAGTCTTCTCACCAATACAGATGGAATTGGAGAATAAATTGGCAGTCGACCTTGGATCGAGGCCCTGTAGACATAGTTAATCGCTAGTGATAAGTGAAAATTGCAACAGTGAATGTACTGAACATGGACATAATAGATTTTTTGTTTAACCTCTGATAAGAAAACAATGTCAAAAAAGATTGGCGCCCAAAATTTTTTAGAAAACTTGATTGTGGCTTCTTAGCTGGATGCCTGGATTATAATTATGAGTTTAGTCAGATCATGTGTTCCGAAATTTGACCTTTTAGTGCAAATATTACATAATGACAAGCTTTACGACGTCGATATTGACTTTATTGATCAAGAACTTGAAATTTGCAAGCTAAACTGCATACTTTTGTACCTGAACAATAATAAGCGAAGCTTCTGATTAGGTAAAAAGAGATTAGGGGTAAGCTGGGGCCACATGGGAGTGGACCAGCAAGAAGGTGGACAAGTTTATGACTTTTTAAGGACATGGGATTTTGTTTAAGCCCAATTTTCCCCCTAGTCAAATATAATCAACAACCAATTTGAAAAAACTGGTATTAACAGTTGGTCCAGGGCTGGCATTCCTTTTCTTAAAACTGTAAACGAATCTTAAAGCATCTAATCAAAATTGAATGGTTCCTGCCTTTGAGGTACGCAAAACTCTCATTCTAACAGTTTAATCTTTTAGACAACATAAGAAATAAATGTATATGTCCAAATCTCATTCTTGATCAAAACAAGCCAAGACTGAATTAAAAAAAATTACCTGTAAGGATCGACGTAGAGGCCTTGGTGGACCTCGGGATGCGTGGGAGTGATGCCATGGAGTTTGCCTCCAAGCCACTTTACCATCACTACCAGCACTGATCTTACAACCGGAAACCACCAATTCCAAACTCCACAAGTCCGGCCTCTTCTGCCACAATACAAATCCTCCTATCTCTCCAGGCCCATGTTTCAGATTTTTGATTTTCATAGCCTTACTATTGTTCAAACTCAAATGCTCTCCAGCTACAAATTCTGATGCAGCCATCTTCACCTTCCCCATGGCATACATGCTATGAATCGAATTCAATGCGAATTCTCCTCCTGCAGCCGCTATGTATTGTTGCACTATATATTTCGCCATTGAAGCCTCCTGGATGCAGATAATTTATTCGGTGAGGCATTTCATCAAACAGGACGACCCAGAATCAAATACAAAAACTCAAAATACATGAAATTGTACCTAACAAAACAAACACGATCTCAAGATATTTTAAAGATTAAAATAAGTTCATGACTTACGATGGGATGATCTTTAATGTTGTCATTAACAACAGTTTGATCACAACGGATAGGAAGAGGGGTCAAAGGGGCTCCAATAACACCAAGCAAGAACTGGATTTCCGTGGTCCGTCCTCCAAATACAGAAGTGACCTGCGGTGCTCTTTCAGTATGCGATCTCATCCAAGATTTCATGGTTTGCCAAGATCGATTCTTGTTAGAACCAAACATCTCTTCTGGGATGGGCACCTCAAGCACCGTATCCAGCCCATCTTCTCTATCCAAGTTTGGGCACAAAGTCCTCATCTGAATCTTAATTGTGATTGAATAAAGAACCGATTTCTTCAAATGGAAATTGGGTTTTTGCAAGCAATGGGATTGTGAGAAATATATGAAATGTGGGATTGAAGTAGTAAAGGTTGAAGGATGAAAGGGAGAGTGCAGTGGGCAACCACCAACGTGCAATTCTTTGTCAATGTCGTGATCGCACGTACATCTTATTTCTGGCTTTCACACTCTCCAAGGAGACAAATTTTGATTGTTTATTCGGATTCATTTTGAGATTAAAAATCCTAATTTATGTCTTCGTGAAAAGTTGAATATATGATTATTCAATGGTCAGTTAGATTCATTAATAGCTTTCATACCATTATCGACACTACTTACTATAGATATTGTTGCTGTTTGCGGTTATTATGATAACTGATTTTTTTATCGTTAAAGAAAAGAGTTGGTTCCACCTATCAGTGAAAAAAGAAAAAATGAAAGCTGGAAAAGTAAAATAACTATCAAAAAATTGTTACAAAAAGGGAGTTATAAAAGTTAACCCATGTAGAAGTTCTAAAACTCTATATTTTTGGTACGTGGTAACAAGGACGCATCAGAGTTTGTCATAAATATTGAAAAATTTCACGTCTCTCAATTTATTAGATTCAGTTCAACATGTTAAACATGACTTTTAAATTGGGTAGATACTAAAATTAAAATTTTAAATTGCTTTAAATAAATTTGAAAAATCTTTTAGGGATTCATATTTAAGCTAAAATTGAGATATTAATTAATTGAATCATACTATTATCAAAATCATCTTGATTGAGTTGTATCAATGAATATGTTAGCATATGATCTTGACTAATTTGAGCCCTTTTTTTTTTGGTATCTAAATAATGTCAATATTCCTAGAGCTCATTCACTTTGAGGCACTTTGCCAACTAATCTCCTAGATGTAAGCTTTTCTCAAATCTAATAAAGAATCACAATATTTTCAATTTATCTTTTGTATGATTTTTTGGCACAAGATTGTAATGAAATTCTTATGTAAACAAAGTTTTGTCAATACAAACAATCAAACTGGTCGGATGGAGAACGAATAGTTAAAAGGCTTCATTTGGGTTTCCTTTTCAGTTCCTTACAAATTATTTTTCAAAATCAAACATTAATTTTAATCATACATATACTAAGACCCACAAGCATTACCTGATTCCTAACTTCGTATAATTTTAAGTTTAACAACTATAAGATAGACACAGAAGGATATGGGGAAAGTTTGAAATACAAGTATGTTCGTCTCAATAAGTTACTCAATTTACATTTTAAGTAAAATGTTAAACGTAGCCAGACATGGTTATTTGCTCCATAAAGACGAAACATAAGAGAATGGGTGAATAATTATTTGGTGCATGCTCCCACTCCCACCTGAATTTTGGGGTAGAGTAAATGTATCTAACAACATGCACGTCGCTGAATAGAACAATACACGATTAAATATGTCGGGCTGCCTGCCGGCCGGACGACGTCTTAAACCGACAATTACCCGTCGGTTGGTTAATTACGACATTCGATCCATGTCATTCTGTTATTAAATGTTGACAAATTAATAATGATTATTAAATATCTCTATATTCTATTTAATTAATTAATTCTTGATGCTTTCCCAATCTGACACGTGTCTTTTAAATTATCAATCGCCCATATTTTAAAGTTAGTTTTTGGCTATACTCTAGTAACCATATCAACTAAAACTAAACTTGTTAAAGATTATAAATGTTTTTAATTTATTTTTTTTTTATTTTGAATGTCTATTTATTTATTTTTTTTTTTTTGTCAATTTTCATAGCCTTACTATTGTTCAAACTCAAATGCTCTCCAGCTACAAATTCTGATGCGGCCATCTTCACCTTCCCCATGGCATACATGCTATGAATCGAATTCAATGCGAATTCTCCTCCTGCAGCCGCTATGTATTGTTGCACTATATATTTCGCCATTGAAGCCTCCTGGATGCAGATAATTTATTCGGTGAGGCATTTCATCAAACAGGACGACCCAGAATCAAATACAAAAACTCAAAATACATGAAATTGTACCTAACAAAACAAACACGATCTCAAGATATTTTAAAGATTAAAATAAGTTCATGACTTACGATGGGATGATCTTTAATGTTGTCATTAACAACAGTTTGATCACAACGGATAGGAAGAGGGGTCAAAGGGGCTCCAATAACACCAAGCAAGAACTGGATTTCCGTGGTCCGTCCTCCAAATACAGAAGTGACCTGCGGTGCTCTTTCAGTATGCGATCTCATCCAAGATTTCATGGTTTGCCAAGATCGATTCTTGTTAGAACCAAACATCTCTTCTGGGATGGGCACCTCAAGCACCGTATCCAGCCCATCTTCTCTATCCAAGTTTGGGCACAAAGTCCTCATCTGAATCTTAATTGTGATTGAATAAAGAACCGATTTCTTCAAATGGAAATTGGGTTTTTGCAAGCAATGGGATTGTGAGAAATATATGAAATGTGGGATTGAAGTAGTAAAGGTTGAAGGATGAAAGGGAGAGTGCAGTGGGCAACCACCAACGTGCAATTCTTTGTCAATGTCGTGATCGCACGTACATCTTATTTCTGGCTTTCACACTCTCCAAGGAGACAAATTTTGATTGTTTATTCGGATTCATTTTGAGATTAAAAATCCTAATTTATGTCTTCGTGAAAAGTTGAATATATGATTATTCAATGGTCAGTTAGATTCATTAATAGCTTTCATACCATTATCGACACTACTTACTATAGATATTGTTGCTGTTTGCAGTTATTATGATAACTGATTTTTTTATCGTTAAAGAAAAGAGTTGGTTCCACCTATCAGTGAAAAAAGAAAAAATGAAAGCTGGAAAAGTAAAATAACTATCAAAAAATTGTTACAAAAAGGGAGTTATAAAAGTTAACCCATGTAGAAGTTCTAAAACTCTATATTTTTGGTACGTGGTAACAAGGACGCATCAGAGTTTGTCATAAATATTGAAAAATTTCACGTCTCTCAATTTATTAGATTCAGTTCAACATGTTAAACATGACTTTTAAATTGGGTAGATACTACAATTAAATTTTTAAATTGCTTTAAATAAATTTGAAATATCTTTTAGGGATTCATATTTAAGCTAAAATTGAGATATTAATTAATTGAATCATACTATTATCAAAATCATCTTGATTGAGTTGTATCAATGAATATGTTAGCATATGATCTTGACTAATTTGAGCCCTTTTTTTTTTGGTATCTAAATAATGTCAATATTCCTAGAGCTCATTCACTTTGAGGCACTTTGCCAACTAATCTCCTAGATGTAAGCTTTTCTCAAATCTAATAAAGAATCACAATATTTTCAATTTATCTTTTGTATGATTTTTTGGCACAAGATTGTAATGAAATTCTTATGTAAACAAAGTTTTGTCAATACAAACAATCAAACTGGTCGGATGGAGAACGAATAGTTAAAAGGCTTCATTTGGGTTTCCTTTTCAGTTCCTTACAAATTATTTTTCAAAATCAAACATTAATTTTAATCATACATATAGTAAGACCCACAAGCATTACCTGATTCCTAACTTCGTATAATTTTAAGTTTAACAACTATAAGATAGACACAGAAGGATATGGGGAAAGTTTGAAATACAAGTATGTTCGTCTCAATAAGTTACTCAATTTACATTTTAAGTAAAATGTTAAACGTAGCCAGACATGGTTATTTGCTCCATAAAGACGAAACATAAGAGAATGGGTGAATAATTATTTGGTGCATGCTCCCACTCCCACCTGAATTTTGGGGTAGAGTAAATGTATCTAACAACATGCACGTCGCTGAATAGAACAATACACGATTAAATATGTCGGGCTGCCTGCCGGCCGGACGACGTCTTAAACCGACAATTACCCGTCGGTTGGTTAATTACGACATTCGATCCATGTCATTCTGTTATTAAATGTTGACAAATTAATAATGATTATTAAATATCTCTATATTCTATTTAATTAATTAATTCTTGATGCTTTCCCAATCTGACACGTGTCTTTTAAATTATCAATCGCCCATATTTTAAAGTTAGTTTTTGGCTATACTCTAGTAACCATATCAACTAAAACTAAACTTGTTAAAGATTATAAATGTTATTAATTTATTTATCTTTTATTTTGAATGTCTATTTATTTATTTTTTTTTTTTGTCGAAAAAATTTATGACATGTGATTGGGAAACTTGATATATATATATATATATTTATTTATATTTATATTTATATTTATATTTATTATTATTATTTTTTTTTCCGTATCTCCTGTTGGCCCGACAATATAGTTGTCTGGGTTTTGGGAATATATCTTCATACAATTTAGAGTAATGCTCCTCTACCAGACCTCTTATGCTCCTCTACCAGACTTGTAAGAGGTCTGGTAGAGACTTCCTCTCCCATTTTCTCTTATCTCGACGGGCCCCATAATTAAAAAAATGTCCCCCTCGAACTGTGAGAGGGACTGCACTACCAGACCTCTTACAGGTTTGGTAGTGTAGCATGACTGTACAATTTATGAATTATTTGGGCAAATCCTCTGGACATCCAGGGGGTTGTCCAAGAAGCACGGCTCGAATTATTTTCAACTTAATCATGCTTGTAAGATTATGTATAAGATTAAGTTCCTTGTAAATCACTTGACATGTCAGGTTCAGTTAATTGGGTTTTAGAATCCAGTTACACGAAACAAGCTAAATTGGCTAATGATTGTAAATGTTGAAGAAAGTGAATGATAAATTGGATAAAATTAGACACATTGAATGCAATAAATTGGATATGATTGTACATGTTGAGAGGGAAGTGAATATTACATTGAATAAACTAAAGACGGTGTTGATTGTGATAAATTGGATATTATTGTAAATGTTGAAGAAAGCGAGCGTAAATTTAAGGTTATTAGACATGAGTTAAAGCATGTAACAAAATTATCAATTATCATGTCTAGATTGAAGTCATAGATGTGTCATCGAAGTTAATATTTAGTGCATGTTTGGGAAAGCTTAATAATAGTATAAGTTGATCAAATATATTTGTATCAATACATTTCGTGGAATTCACGGCTCCCTAACATTTATTATCCACACAATTAGCAAAATTCACAACTTATGGACACTTTAAAGCACCATCAAACATTATTGTAGCCAACTTTATACTGATTTCTTACTTCTTCCTTTTTCTTTTTTCTTTTTTTTTTTCTTTTGTTTTTTTTTTTTCAATTTTTTTGTAGGGTATGAGGAACAAATGGCCTTGATTGGAGTTTTACAATATTTTGTGAGTCAAAGTGATTTTTCTGAAAATAATGTAATGTTAATAAGTAGGAAAACGATATGAAAAATCATAAAAGTGATTTTTTTTTTTTTTTGGAAAATTATGGTTGAAAATGAGTGTAGTAAAAAGTGATTATGAAACAATCACTTTCAAACAAGGGCAAAAGAAACAAAATAAATTTTTTTAGAGAAGCATTACATAACTTAGCCCCTATTTGAAAATCGTTAAAACAAATTCATTTTTCATCTAACTAGTTATTAATCACGCATTCTCAAAATAGAATACTTTACATGTAAATCTAAAACTTTTTTTTTTCACTTCTTAACCACATATTTTAAAAAAAAATAAAATAAAATCACTATTATAAAATTCATATTTCAAAAAAAAAATAATTTATTTTATTGATTGTGAAACATGGGCTTAATATAAAAATATAATAAAGCTCCTTGATAACTTGATTCTCTAAATTTAGAGAGTTAATTCTTTATTTTAAAGAATGGATTTGAGTCTTCAAATGTACTAAAGCAAATTCATTCACTATATGATATTTTATTGTTGTAATCTATTGTCTTACAATTCTCCACGTACTTCTTTCAAAATAAAGGGAAAATGATATTGTAAATAAGAGAGAAGTAAAGTGAAAAAAAAAAAAGGAAAGACACTGAGCCATATTTTTTTGTCGAATAACTCTAACTAAAGATGAAATATGACTAGTATTATTGGAGTAGCAAAAAAATTGGGATGCTCTTCAAAATAAACAGTATAGTTATAAATGCTCCAAGTCAAATAAAATAAATTTTTTCTATGACAAAATATGTTCGAATCATTTTATATGTCCTGTTGACCTCGCGAATTGGACCCTCCACGTGGTCAACCGATAACTACTCCACATAATCCTCCCTTCGCACAGTCAACGCACGGTCAAATGCACACGGTCGGAACCATCGGGGGCGGCGGCGACAGTATACACTCCGACGGTGGTTCTGGTGATCGAAACAGTGCCAAGATTGTGCAAAAAGGGTGGGGAGGAGAATATATATTTACTTGTTATGGAGAACTAATTTGTAAAAGTTTCATTGCCTTTGCTTCTTGTTAAACATTGGGTATTTATAGTTGAGGAGAATCGTTAGATGTGAGACACGTGTATACATCTGACGATGTGAGGCGTCTACTCATAGGCGTCAATCAGTCGCGTCTATAGAGTGGGTGAGTAATAACTTTTCCTGAATTGAGTTGACATAAAGTTGATACGTCACATCAACTAGGCCCATGAAAACGTCAAATCAATTTAAACCTTGGGGGCAGAAAGGATCTTGACACAGATTTCTTTTTGAAATTGGCGAAGGATCCTCTGACAGAAATCCTCGGAGTGCATTGCGTTTCGGCGTCAGAGGCAAGAACTCTTCGATTGGTTGAGTAGAATTGTTTGTACCTCGCAATACGTTAGCAGCTCGCCAACATTAGTGGTGGAGTTACTTCGGAACTATTTCGAATGGGTGTTGGACACCTCGTATGATGCAGTGGCAGTCTTTTCGAAGTGGTTCAGATAGGAGCGTAACATGTCATTTATACAGTTTTCATAAATAGATAATTCAAAAATAATTTCATTCTTGTTTTTCTGCATCGATTCAGAATACTATGCTAATAAATAAGTAAATTAAATTCCCGAGACCAAATAATTTATAATCATTATTTGTAAAGCACTAATCACCTGGCAATCCATGTGAATTTTAACATAATGCCAAATCAAAATATATGCATTCATTTGGACAAAGACCAATCCAAAAACCCTAAGAAAATCTATTATAGAATATTGAAAGGCCACATATCTAACCGAAAAATAAACGTATAAAAAGAAAGTAAAATCCTATGTTTGAGCTCCTTTTTGTAATGATGAATTTTTGAAGAATGTGGTTAAAAAAATAAAAAAGTTAGTGCAAAATATTTTATTTTGAACATATGAGGTTGAAAATGAGTTTGAGAAAAAAATGAATTTTTAAATAATGGAGATTAAGCATGCTTATATGTGTGTGTGTCTGCAAATTGAGGAGTCTTCATTGCATAAACTTGTGGATTGGCCTAAAAAAATGGCTTCCATTTTAATTGAACTGATGTAGTTGAATCCTTGTGATATAATGGTGATAATATTGCGTTACCTTTGTTGATAGAAATTATCTTCTAATAATAAACTTGAAAGCATGAAATACAAGAAACCCAAATTCAATCAAATTGATTCATGCAGAATATCAAGATGTTATGTTTATTTATAAATTTTATTAATTTTTCAAAAGGTAATCAAACAACAACTAACATAATTCTAGCTTTTAGAGGAAAACAAGAAATCC